AGAGTGGATTTGTTCCACACAGGCCTTATGAGGATAGGCTATCCTGTAGTAGTAGTGTGTATTATCCTTGGTTGGAACCAACGTTTGATGGGAAAGGGGCCTCGTTTTTTTATTAAAAACATACATTTTTTAAGACAACGATTTCAAAAAGCGAATATTTTCCATCAATAAACTGCTTAATATGATCCAATCATTTTGGTGGTACGTCTTGGGAGCAACACTGCGTTATCGTCAAATTCGACGAGTATTTCAAATCCATAGCTAAAAATATGCCACAATTGTATCGATTACCTAAGTATATAAGATATTTACTTACTAGGTTAAAATAATAATTTCTGTACAATAGTTTTATGATCTACCTTAATTTGTATAGTTTATTGGTTCCAGTAAAGATTTGCAATTATTTTGAGGTCTCTATCGTAGAAAATATTGGGAACTTTCACTTTATACCAGATCTTATAATTTTCTCAGTGTTTTTGATCCTTTGTTATAAAAAGACAGGCCTTGTTGATTGATTTCAAATCCATATCTAAAATATTCATAATTGTATCGATATCAGTATATAAGATATTCACTTACTTGGTTAAAATGATAATTGTTGTGCAATAATTTTATTGTTGTTGACGAGTCTCAAACAAGACTGAAAGAGCTTAATTATTATAAAATCCGATTCAAACTTCGAATTAACAACATAACATACAAAAAACGCTGTCAAAATATTGGGAATTTCACTTTCTATGAGGCTTCAGGTCTTGTAATTTTCTCAGTGTTTTTAATCCTTTGCTATAAAAAACAGGTCTTGTTGTTGATTGATATTAGTATATAAGATATTTACTTACTTGGTTAAAATCAAATTAATTGTTGTGCAATAATTTTATATTTTTCACTGGTGACCAGTTTGAGCGAGACTGAAAGAAGCTTGTTATTATAAAATCCGATTTAAACTTCGAAGTATCACATACAAAAAACACCGCTAAATGCAAACGCTTAATCGGCAGTTTTTTTTATCTGAATTATATCAGGACCGTTCGCAGAAATCGCCCGAGAAAAACAACAACACATTTTAAAGATAATTTTTTAGTTTAAGGCGTAATTATTAAGTTAGATATTAATATGTCCATTTTTATTTTAAAAAAGGTGACAAATTCAATCAATTTATCAAAATTTAAAAGAATAGATTTAAATTAGCATCTTTGACATTTTATGAGCCAATAACCCTATGCAATACAAAATTTCAGTGGATACATTGTTACCTGTAAAAGATGAGGATTCAATTTTTATTCTTTGTACAAAAAACGCAGCATCCAGTACCAGTACTTTGAGCCTGGATTTTCAAAGTTTAGTTTCTTGTGCGATAAGTGTCGGTTTCGAAAAACTGTAAGTACTATTTTTAAATATCTAAGTGATGTAGGATAAATCATGCCCTGAGACATATTTTAAATTAACACAAACCTCGATTATTGAATTATTTTTATTTTCCTTAACACATAATCATATTGTTTGTTTTTTAAAAATACAGACAACCCTGAGTACCTACCTATTTCTTAATTTAATTCCAATAGTTTTTTACGCAGCAACTTGAATTTACTTTTATACTTACATTTGCACAAAACTCAAATTTCTTTTTCTAAAATTTAGGTAGGTTCTTTAACCAATTTAAACTGGTTTTATTTTTTCATTTACTTTAAAACAAACCTCCATAAACAGCGAATTTTTAATTTTGTGCACAAAATCGTTCACCAGGAAGGAGATAACCTGAAACGTCATGGGATTGCTAATCATCTTCCAAGATCTGTAACCAATTTGGTGGGATTTTTAAAGCAGAGGGGGCTATCCAACACCACCCAAACACCCAGCTCCAAGAGAGCCTCCAAACGAAAGGCTGGAGATCCCGCCGCCCCCATGCTGAAGCAAGCTAGACTTTTGCTGGTAAGTTGACATTAAGCGAATTTTTTAAATCTAATTCAATTATTTTCAGGACCTTCAATATCAGCCACATGCCGGTGGTGTGAGTATTGCGATTTGGAGGCACCGATAAATCAATGGGTTGGTCATCTTCGGTGTCTCTAGCACCGAGCCAACACCTGGTGAAGCAGGAGGAAGACGTTAGTCTTGTCAAAACATCTTTCAAGAACCGAATTGAAACATAGCGGCTTTCATCAAAGCAGGACCCTATCAGCGTGAAGCACGTTTTGAAATTAGCTGTGGCATACCTATCCAGTATTAGGACGGACGGAGGACTGAATGATTTTATGACACACTTACCAGGATAGCAGAAAATGCGTATGCAAAAAAATAATTTAGAGCAAACAGTTAAATAGCGCAAGGATATGAGAAAACTAACTTCGCACATTCTTGAGCAACCGACCCACCGAATTCAACAAACTTGCGTACACGTAAACGAGAAGAAGGGGTTTTAAAACTAGTTTTTCCTTCAACAAATCACGGTAACTATGGAATAACATAATAGAGGACTAAAATATGACAACCACTTTCAAGTTGAAACTGGAAGTGGATACCGGCTGCCACTACCACCCCCTGCTCATAAATAAATTTCGTCATTTAGGTTTTCAGTCATCCTAAACAAAAAGTTCACAGATTTCTAGGAAAAAGAAAGCGGTGTGTATCATTTCAATTGCAGTGTTATATACTAAACAATGTCTCTTACAGGCTGGACGCTCCAACAACTTTAAGCTCTAAATATGAGTATTAATAGGATCATAACCCTCTAAAAGCCTATTCATATCTGCCAGTACCAGGATAACCTGTAACGTCATGGGAGTTGCCGAACATCTGCCAAGATCTGCAATCAATGTGATGGAATTTTTAAATCATGTCATCTAGAAATAACATGGGTTGAGGAAAAAAGTATTCCAGTACTTCCAAGCTAGATATTCAGGAATGTGAGAAATTAGCAGTTTATACGAATTACTTCCAGAGGAGTACGTTCGCGGATTTCGTTCGCAGGCGGAAATTTGGGATCTGTTTCTATTTAAATACTCAATATCTATTAAAAAAAAAAAATATTCAAGGGTGACGATAAAGACGTATTTCATTTTTATGATTATGAATATTGCTACAATTTAGATGGTCACAGTCCTATTAACCATATTGGCAATGATTGTTGAGAATAAAAATAAGCTTTAGTATAAACTATGTTTTATTCTCCTGAGAATGGCAGAGATGAAGCCACCATTGATCTCTGTAGACCACCAACCCAAACCCACAGTCAAATAGCGCCAGCACACACTTAAGATATCCTACAACTTTTATTTATGTTCCAAAATTGTATCAAGATTATTTCCATTTCAATAATTTTTGAAAAGAAACTTCTTAAACGGCGTTCTGCTATTTGGACGACAATGGAGAGCGATTTGAAAAACGCGTCACGGGCAAATTTCGTTACTCGAGAGACAAGAAAGATGTAACGTAAAGGAACAGAGAAAGACAGCTATTGATTGACACAAACCAAGGATTATAAGCGTCGAGAGGACTGCCCATTATTGACAAGCGCCGATATTGACGCAAACCAAGGATTATAAGCGTAAGGATGATTGCCTATTATTGACAAGCGGTATTGGAAAAATAAAATAATTTCTGGCGAATTTCGGGGTTTTCCGGATATCTCTGGAAAGCACTCGGAATTTTTGAAATATCAAAGCAGCATAATAATGAGCACAAAGTTGCACTATACTTTTTTCTGATTCAACCGACGTCGGGTCTCTTTCCGTAGGATTCTAATACAGGATTCGAATAGGATTCAGAATAGCTAGTATTCGAATGATACCCAAGTCTCCCAAAGTACCAAGTGTTATCACAGGAGTTTATTCAAAACATGCCGCATTAGTAATAATTATCAAACTTCAAAATTGTATAACAGGAGACTTTCTCATTGAAATCAAGCATTACGTTGATAGACTTGATACTGTTTACAATGCCAATCCCCATTAAGTATACATGCCCCAGATGTAAGGGTGAAACTGATATACCTAATCGACTTTGTTTGCCTTGCGAATTTTCACAATTTGTTGAACAAAAAAGGATACCATCTCATTATTTTGCAAAACCCGAACGTAGAACCTAAATTATGAAGTTGTAAATTTTCTGATAAATAAAACTTTTGTTATTATATTTTTCTGCTTTTTATTTATGGCCTCTAGACTAGGTTAGGCTATAATAATGTGGGAAATTACCTGGAATAGAACCAGAACTATGCACGGGTGGTATTGACATTAGTCATCAGTCATTGTTAAAAGTGCCAAACGGGGTATAGTGCGGTTTTTCTTGATCCCTTGGCAAAAACGACGAACGACGTAACGACGGCCATTTGGCAAGCGCGAGATTTGTTAAAACGACGTAGAACGATGAAGTGATTAACGACGAACAATAATTTATCGCGAATTATAATCAATATTCTGTGTTATTTTTACGAAGTTCAATCATTATATAATATTAACTGTTATTCTGGTGCTTTATGATTTTTTTTAACTCCAGATACCCAAATCGTCCCTATATATCCCACAAATTGGGGGCTCAACCGGGATAGGGCTCCGATTTTGACATTCTGGAACTCTGACATTTTGACAGTTGCGTGGTACGGATTTCGGGTTTGCGTGCGTTGGAAAGAAAGACTTTTGACGTGATTACAAATTTGAAACTTTGAACATTTTTAAATGTGTTATAAAGGTGTTTAAAAAAAAAAGGATACTACCCAAGGTAAGCGTATTTATACCTTTTTCTTTTTCTTGTGGCTTTTATTACGAGTAGTGACATTTTAATTTTCTTTCGGGTAACAGCTTGATACCCTCGCCAATGCCTAGTGGTAGGTACTTATATCCAAATAAACTTTTTATTCTGTTGAAGCTTTAAAAGATTTCAGTAAAAAATAGACTGAAAATTTAAATATTAGAGACTCTTGGACTCTTGGACAGTATAATTTGTGGATATTGTGCCTATTTTTATTTTCCTATTTGTTTTAGCTTGGTAGAAAACATTTAAAAATGACTGCTCTTGGTGACATAACACGCGTTAGAGAATTTTTGCGTGTTGCAGCTACGAAAGTCATCAAACATTTCCATCAATTAGTTTTTGAGGTAGTTGGGGATAGACAAAATAGAAAACACCTTCGTGAATTCACCGGTTTCAATTTTGCCATAGACTCTGACATTTTCGAACAAAAAATAGACTATGTTATGAACACTTTTTCCGAAAATGAATTGGTTTCCATTGCAAATATTTTAGAAGTGGACAGTGACGTTGATAAAGACAGCTTAGTTAGAAATATTTGTTGTGTGTTAACCGATATAAACTCTTTAGCTCGTTCATTCGCGGAAAATACTGAATTGACTGATTCGGACGATGACGATTTTCAAGACGTAGGAGAAAAAGTCGAAACTATCACGAATTCTGCCAATGCTACATATCCTGCCGTATTTTCTAATGTCTCCATTTCGCAAAACGTTGTACCTACGAGTTCGTTCTCTAGTTTAAACATTCCCGGAGGTCAAAATGTTCCAAATTCGATTTTGATTCATAGGTCTATTCAGCCTCGAGTATCTATTCAACCGATTGCGTGTGAAAATATCACAGTACCCTCATACACAGTACCCTCCTACTCAGTATCCTCTCACAACATAACTGCCAACAATACGACTTATTCAAATTTACCGATGCCACAATCACAACAGTATATTCAGCCTTCACCATTTTTTGCAAACGCAGCGATACCGATGCCTCAATCTGTTTTTTCAAATACGACGACGCCATATTGTAATGCTTTTCAGCAAAATCAGCCTTCTCCAAGTTCTGTTCAACCTCCAGCTTTTGCAATTAGTTTTCGTGACGTCGAAGGTTCCATAAAATCATTTGATGGATCTAAGAAGTACCCAGATGAAGAAATTGAATCCATAAATGAAATTTTAAAAGAAAAACCATACAAAGATTACATAATAAGAAATGAAGTACTATACAAATTGATCAACGGAAATGAATTGTTAGTAATACCCAAAGCTATGCAAAATGAAATAATAAGGACTGTTCACGAGAATGGACATTTCTCGATCAAAAAGACTGAAGAGACAATAAGGCAGAATTACTTCATACCAAAAATGAAAAATAAAATAGAAAAGGTGATCTCATGCTGTGTACCATGTATTCTGGGAAATAGGAAGAGAGGCAAACAGGAAGGTTTCCTGCACCCACTCCAAAAAGACGACATTCCACTGAATACATACCACATTGATCATTTTGGACCATTGAATTCGACCAATAAGAATTACAAACACGTTTTAAGCGTAATTGACAGTTTTACAAAATTTGTGTGGATGTATCCGACCAAATCAACGACGACAGCAGAGGTGATAAAGAAGCTTAAAAATCAGAGTGTTATCTTTGGAAGTCCACATAACATTTTCACTGATCAAGGAACAGCGTTCACGTCAAAAGAATTCGATGATTACTGTAGACAGGAAGATATTAAACACTTTAAAATCACAAGTGGAAAACCGAACAGTAACGGACAAATTGAAAGGGTAAATACAATAATTTCGAATGTTTTGACTAAAATTTCGATGGATAACCCTGCAAACTGGTATAAGCATGTTGAATCTGTACAGCAAATGATGAATTCAACGTACCAAAGAAGCATCGACATGACGCCATTCGAGCTTCTTATCGGAACTAAGATGAGAAAAGCAGCAGATGTTAAATTGAAAGAAATTATAGATGAGGAATTTAAAAAAGAATTTCAGGAGAATCGAGAAAAGTTAAGAGAAGCAGCCAAAAAACAGATAATCAAAGTACAGGAAGAAAATAGAAGGAACTTTAACAAGAAAAGGAAAGAAGCAAGACAATATGACGTAGGAGACCTCGTAGCGATAAAGAGAACACAACAGGGACCTGGCCTCAAATTAAAAATAAAGTTTTTGGGACCTTATGAGATAACCAAAACAAAAGGAAGCAATACCTATGACGTTATTAAAATAGGACTTCACGAGGGGCCTAATAAGACTTCGACTTGCAGTGAATTTTTGAAACCATGGCTACCGTACGATGATCTTGATAATGATGATGATGATGATTCATCGGAGGCCGATGAAGTGCAGGACGGCCGAACTGTGGGAAATTACCTGGAATAGAACCAGAACTATGCACGGGTGGTATTGACATTAGTCATCAGTCATTGTTAAAAGTGCCAAACGGGGTATAGTGCGGTTTTTCTTGATCCCTTGGCAAAAACGACGAACGACGTAACGACGGCCATTTGGCAAGCGCGAGATTTGTTAAAACGACGTAGAACGATGAAGTGATTAACGACGAACAATAATTTATCGCGAATTATAATCAATATTCTGTGTTATTTTTACGAAGTTCAATCATTATATAATATTAACTGTTATTCTGGTGCTTTATGATTTTTTTTAACTCCAGATACCCAAATCGTCCCTATATATCCCACAATAATTTAAACAAAATTCAACGAGAGTTTTGTGCACAACATTAGGATAGGCCATCGAATACTATATTGTTAAGTTTTTTTTTAAGTCGACACTTTCCGTATGGGGAGCAAAAGAAGGAAGGATACGACAAAAACAGGCGTGAGATCAGGTGACCGTTGACGTACAATCGTAGGGAGTCACACCAACTCATATTGGAGTATCAGCTAGGGGATTCTTATCTTGTCACAAGTCGCTATGGCTCGCTAGCTGTCATTCGATACCTATTTCGATATCGGATGGAGAGTGATTCATATGTATTATTGTCGAATTTCGTATCGACACCAAATAGACGGTGGTTTGAAAAACGAGAAAAAAATCGACCTTCAAATTTGAATGATAGATGATAGATTATGTTTATTATTTTATAATTTATTTTTCGCTTCAATTCAAACTATTTTTACTTCTAAAGATTCCTTTCGCGTTGAAAATAATTTCAATTTTTAATTATTATGTTGCAACGAAATCTTAAGGCAGCACCGTCAACAGCAAAACCTTCACTTTAGACGCACGACTCGTAGGGTAGGAGAAACTTAAATTTACATTTTTCTTCTCGTCTCTCAACTCCACACTCTCGTATTCCTTATGTGAGAATGACCGCGTTCACCAGCACTCAACATGTTGAGTGATTAGTTAGCGGCTTTGTTGAAAAAGATGAAATATAACGAAGGATTACATACACAAACGACAAACATAAAACATAAACACATAACATGACACCACAACTTGTCACTTCAAAATAAAAAAGGATAGCCAATCATTCGAACAAAGATCAGCATATCGAAAAGCCGAAACGGGACCTCTTGCTTACGTCAGAGAGTCGATCCGAATCAGCAATTCGACATCGAATTGGTCTTAAAAATTCCGCAGGATAATAAATGATGGACTGTATACGCATGCAATTTAATTCATTTTACCTACTCATCAATAACTGATAGACCGTGCCTGACTCATCCATATAATAATATAGGTCCTGCGAAATATTAATGAAACCGAACAAACACACTGCATACATAAAACGTCCATTTTATGTCATATTCACGTTCATACGTCCATATGACCTATTCACTGACCTCGAAAATAAATGGATAAACAAAGAACGCTACTAATGCTGCTAATTTACGAGGTCAAAATCTAAACAAAAACAACTGACTGGGACAGCTGTGAGCATGCGCAGTAGATACATGTATTGTGCGTACACAAAATCTGGCCAATGAAAATGAAGGAATTTCGAAACTTAGAACAGTTGTTCGAAAGATAAAACACTGCGCAGGCGTTAGGCTGTTCCGTTGCGCAACTGTTCGTAGAATATTGACCCCAAACTTTCGCACAAATTATGCAAATCAAGCCGTATGAATTGTTTATCCATTTATTTTTTAGATCAGTGGACCTATTCAGAACGTACATAAGACGTACATTTTAGTAAAAACATTCATATTACGTACATTTACATCCACCATTTTGGTTTTATGTTAAAGTGTAAAATACAAACAGGTCACTGTTTATTTATTTAATTCCTCGTGTCTAAGTTTAACTTTGTTTGAATCTCTGTTAATCCTAGTAATTCAAATCATTGGCTTAGAAAATCGTGTGTTTATTTTAGTGGCAGGCAGACGTAATAATTAAAAATTGATAAAAAAATTTCTTGCCTCGACTGGAATTTAAACCCAGGACCCCTGAATTTCCAGTGCAACGCTCTAACCAACTAAGCTACCAGGAGCTGTTTCATTTCTACCTTTTCGAATGTCGATCAAATCTGGAACGCGAAATAAATGAAAAATAGTATAGAAGGACTAACCACACAGCGTTTTTATGCCTAGGGAGTTTATCGATACCGTGGGCAAAATCTAGATCGACGATGCATTTGATCTGAAATTTCGGGGTTTGACCCGAACCAAACCCAAATTTTTTGGGGAGTTTCCCGGAATTCGACCGCAGCTCCTTATCTCATGCTATCATCATCAAAACACAGTTATCGTCCCGCCATCGAGCGTCATCCTCATCGTCGTCTCGTCATCGATCGATTGCAGAAAGTCTAGCCGGGGAATCGAGTCCTCAGACCATTACACCAAAATCCAGCACTGTAGACAAGGCACTAGATCCTTGAGTAATTATTGATAAAAAATGTTTGTAAGTAAAGTCTATACCAAGTCACTTGGACTAGCATAAAAACTAACTAAATCCCGGCATCCATCGGCTTTTTCTTTGTCAAACATGGGCGGCGTAATTTCAAAAAACAGTACTAAAATTAATAATCAATAGACAGTATGTCAATCAATCATGATCCGCAATGGCCAATCAGATCTATTGAGTCCACGTTTACTGGTATCGAACGTGTACATGGAGGATGAAGCCAATCAGATAATATACCTATCCATTCTTACTTGTCTGGCTTCCAACGGGTACGAGGAGCAATCAGTATAAATTTTGCTATATTTTTCAATATGTGATGCAGTATATTGACAATACGTCTATTTTAGGCTTGGTCCAAGTAACTTCGTATGGACTATAAAACGTTCTAACTATACAGGTCCAGAGACAATTATAAGTGTGTAGACAGCTATACAGGTCCAGAGACAGGTCCGATTCAGCTTTTCGAGACAGATCTGTCTACACAGACTGCTTTTCGAGACAGCTTTTCGTGACAGGTCTGTCTACATAGACTGCTTTTCGAGACATGTCTGTCTACACAGACAGCTTTTCGAGACAGGTCTGTCTACACAGGCAGGTTTCTGAGACAGGTCTGTCTACACAGACAGCTTTTCGAGACAGGTCTGTCTATAGAGGCAGCTTTTCGAGACAGATCTGTCTATAGATACAGCTTTTCGAGACAGGTCTGTCTACATAGACAGCTTTTCGATATAGGTCTGTCTACACAGATAGCTTTTCGAGACAGGTTAGTAGTAACGGGGGCACCTGAGCCTGAGAATTTTTTCGATACCGTGGGAAAAATCTCTAAATCGGCGGCGCCTTTGATTTGAAACAGCTATCCAGGTCTAGAGATAGGTTTGTATACACTTATACAGGGCTAGAGACAGGCCTGTATACAGCAATGGTAAGCAAGGGTTAGTTTGGGTTAGTTATAGGTTAGCATAGGACCCCCCACGTCGTTGGGTCAGTTACGAATCTTCCCTAACTGACCCAACGACGTGGGGGGTCCTATGCTAACCTATAACTAACCCAAACTAACCCTTGCTTACCATTGCTGTATACAGGCCTGTCTCTAGCCCTGTATAAGTGTATACAAACCTATCTCTAGACCTGGATAGCTGTTTCAAATCAAAGGCGCCGCCGATTTAGAGATTTTTCCCACGGTATCGAAAAAATTCTCAGGCTCAGGTGCCCCCGTTACTACTA